AAAGGGAAATAGAAAAGGTCATGCGTTATGAATCCAGTCTGTGGATTTAAATAGAACGTAATGTTAGGCTGGGTGAACATGGGTGAATTTCACCGTTACGGAGCTCAATACTGAGGCTGGAAAACAGGTTGGTTCGGTAGCTTTTGATAGGGATACTTTCCCTCACCGGTTTGACTAAACTAAATAGCTTCTGGTCCTCGGCCAGAATATAATAAAGGAGAGGTTTGAAGTCAGACTCTTATTGATTCATCTGCCTTCCAAAAATACTTCCAATAAAAACTTTGTTCCCAGGATTTAAACAGCTCTGCTTTGTTGTCATTTGAAAGGTTGCTGCTGCCTTTTGAATCTTGAGATGCATAGATTTGGGGGAGTTATGACTAACAGACAATTTGGAAGTAGGCAGGAAATGTAGATTGCATCCATGAGACAACAGAGTTTGTTCCCAGAGTAATTTCTTGGCCTAACACACATTAACCTTTGGAAATGCCTCTCAGCCCAGCGCTGTGACTCGGTGCTGCCTCTTCTCTCCCTGCTGCCAACGGTGTCTGCTGTGCCCTGTCTAAAACATGATAAAAATTGATCTGAAACAAATCATGTGTTACTCCGTGTGTGTGTGTAGCAGTTGGCAAGTTGTGCCTCATCAGGTATTCCGCTCGTCAGGACTGCTCATTGTTGTCTCATCTGAGCCAATATTTGGCTTGCAGCCAGGCTGGTGTTTGGATTGTTTATGGGTTTCCTTCTTTTACTGAGGACATGGAGAGATCAAAAGTCTCAGTATTTGTTTCCAGCTACTTCAGCAAAGTGACACAGTGTAATCAGCTGCGTCATCACCACACCAGCATTCATGTGGGTTGTACCCTACAGCAGTGGCTAAACAGATTTCCAAGTCCCTCTTACATCAGTATTTTAGGTGGAAAAATCAGTGCAGTAGCACTGCGCCGATTGTCAGAGATGACTGGAAAATCATCAGAGACTGTTGATTTAGTCCCAAGTATTACTGAGGATTTAGAGGGCAAGGAGAAGAGATGGCACTGCATGAGGAGGTGGAGTCTGAGAACTGTGGAAGAGGTCTTTTCCTTGAATCTTTTGATTCAAGGAAATTTAGAGATTTAGAGATTCCTTGAATCTCGGTCTGTAGGCGGAGATCCTGTTTGTGGTGCTATTTCGTAAGGACAGGCAGTTCAGAACAGGTTCTCAGCTTCTACTGAGAAGTTTCCCTGAGCCACTGGAACTCTCCTGCAAAGTCTACATCCAACTATACAGCCACCTCTGATGATCTGTTAGTAAAATGGCTGCCAATTCCTTTCATTTAAAGCATATTATTTTTTGTTTGAAACAGAAGCATAATGCAAATCTGAAGCCATTAAAGCCGGTCAAACTAGACACTGAGGTAAGTCGTCATCATTTCAGTGGATTTTTTTTTTAAATTACTTTTTCCTCTTGTCTGAAGAATGTGTTTTCAAGTGCCATCAATCTGGTTCCCGTTTACAGGAGCAGGCGAAAATTGCAAAACTTGGGTTAGAATTGCATCTGCTCACATCCGATGTGGATTCTGAGATGGAGAAATGGGAGGATCAAGAGAACGAGGTTGTGCAGCGCGGACAAGGCATGTCAAGTATGGCCTACTCCATGTATTTATTCACCAGGTGAGTACATGCCAGCAGCATATGTCGGAGGGGACAAGAGCAGGAACAGTGTGCATAAGAAGTAAGAAAAGTTCATTTTCAGGGTATAATGATTAGGACACGTTCAGAAAGGAGCTTTAATTTCTATCCTTACACTTTATAAATTCTTATAAACTTCTAAGCTGTTTAATAATAAAGTGAAGGTGGGGGGTTTTTTAAATAAATGCTAAACACCTGTGTTGTTGCAGAAGAGCTATTTAAGTGTCTCTTGGCTACAGACAACATTTTAAGAAGCATGTTCATAAATCCTTTCAGAATTAAGGACACTAAAGCACAGGTGCACAGCTGTAGGTTAGAACTGACTGACCGTTGCTGCGCTTGGAGGTGGTGGTCTGAAATTTGCCCGTGCAATGTCAGCTTTCTTATTAAAAAACCACCCTAGATTCTTCCTCTAAGAGTTGAGATTTTTCTTGCCTAGTATTCCAATAATGCTCAGTGTGCCAGAGACAGGGATTTCTTTCCCTGTTCAGCTGATGAGAACTGAACTATCTGTACTTTCCCAACAGTGCTCTAGCCACGGAGCTGCGTATGTCATACGTTGAAATGCAGTTCCCTGTAGTAAGTTATCCTAGCACACGGTATCCTCTAAGAGAGCGATACTTTACAGTTCAGTGGTGTGAACCGAGGGTGAGAGACACACTGTAAGTTGTGCAGGTAGCAGGGAGAATAATCTGGGAGTCTATACATGGCATATATTCTGTCTTCATTATTTCCCCACAGAGGAGAAGGACTTCTGAAAACTACTCAAGACTTATTTCATCAAGCAGAGGTAATATATTCTTTAACAAAACGGGAGTTAGGGACTCTGAAGAACAGTGTTCTTCAAGAACACAAAAAATAATTGGAAGCCAGGTTTTTTTATACAGAATCATAGAGTAATTTAGGTTGGAAAAGACCGTTAAGACCACCAAGTTCAACCGTTAACCCAACACTGCTGATACCACCACTAAACCATGTCCCTAAGCCCCTCGTCCATGTCTGTTAAATCCCCCCAGGGATTTATATGTAAAGGGAAAGCCCTTCAACTTTGATTATCTGGAGGAATGACAGTTTATGGTGTAGCTTGTTATTTCAGAAGTCACTGCAAACTGCTGACACTTCAATTAAAAGTGTATACCACAGTCACAGACATTTCCTGCTGCCTTTTTACGTTATAGCACACTATTTATTACAACAAGAAGGAAAAAGAGCCTCATCTGTGGTTCATTTTGTTACGTGCTTTCTCCCCCTTTCAGATTTTTGCTACAGAGGGCACAAAGCTTGCTTCAGCTCTTCATGCCTTTTCTGATCAGGTGATGCATGGCCTCTAAACCCCCTCATTCAGCTTCACTGGCGGTAACTGCTGGGAAGCTGGTTGTGTTACCTCCCCTGTTAACTTAATACTGGAGTCTTTAACACAGAGTGGGTTTGTCTTCCTGAAACACCTTTCAGGTACACGACGATGACAAACCTTTGCTTCTATTGGAGGCTGAAAAACTGATCTCTCTGTGCAAGCAGCTCCAGATAACAGCTAAAGCTTCCGTTCAGGGTAAAAGTGCTACATTTGCAAAGGTAAGGTAAAAACTGTATATTCCTGAAAGTAAGACCTGACTTGTTTTGAACTGTAGTAACTTAACTAATTTTTATGTTCCTGTTAAAATATGAAACGGTTCGTGACAGCTGAACTTCTCAGATTGGCAGAGGACCATAAAAATTCATAAGTACAAAATTGAACGCTGCTGTGCAGTATGTCATCGTCGCTGCTGCTTATGCAGAAGGGGAATTTACTTCCACTTAACGTGTTTTGAGAAGCTGATGTGTGCAGTGGAAAGGAGGAGCCCTAACAGCTGTTCCTCTGGCTGAAAATGGTTTGTCTGTTGGGACATCCCTCACTGGTAACTGTAATCCAAGCTACAGGGGCAGTCACTATCTTGTCTTGGGAGGGGATCTTCTTCAGCACAGGTGCTGCTGCTTTCCAGCCACCTTTTTTTTTTTTTCCTCTTCCCCACTACCCGAGAAGGGCTCCAGCAAAGTCTAGCCTGACCTGAGCCCCTCATTCACGCAGAGTTTGACAGGAGGCAAAATACGGTGCACTGGCACCCAGCATACATGCAAGCCTGCTGGTGCACAGCTTGGATAGTATCACTCTAGAGGCTTAATATGAATGTTTTCTTCAGGGAACATGGGTATCAGTTTTGTGTAACTCGCCCACTGGCCACAGACCTGCTGTTGGCATTTCTGTCTCAAGGAAGAGTTTCCCTACCCCTAGCTTATCAACTCCAGAGTCTAAGAATCAGTAAAATAAGGGATAGGATTTTTTTTTTTAAGAGCGTTCTAGGAACCTCATTGTCTTGGGAAACATTTCTGTAAACTCTTTCACTATCAGTGAAATCTGAAACCCAAATTATAATTTCAGTATTTTTAGTAACAGGGAGGAAGAAAAGTGGAAAAGGGTCCTGTGCC